GGCTGCACGCATGCCAGGCGAGCACGCTACTGCTTGAGCCACATCCCCAGCCCCACCATATTTTGGAGCAGTGAAATTTAGCTGGAAGTTTGATTACACATTAGATAAAAGTCAGCTCAATTTGATAGCTAGCTGGTTTCTTTCTCCCTCTATAAGAATTATGCTATATTTGGTATTTTAGAAAACTCTAGTACTTAACCAACACTTTTCTCTAGAAATTTTTAAAAAATTCTACTGATGTTTTGGCAGCCATTGAGTTGAAATACTAGGCATATGGACATAGTCCTGAAGGTATTCTGACAGCTTTTGGTTTAAAAGGGACTTTGAGAAGTTAGTTATCTCCTACTTTCAAATAGATACACTAAATGAACACAGTCTGAACTATTCTATTTTCATAAGCTTCTAAGTAAACACATTTCAAAAACTTAGGCAAATACTTTTTTATTGTGGCAAAATACACATGACATAAAACTTACCACCATAACCATTTTTAAGTGTACAGTTCGGTGGTATCAGAGTTGGAGAGTTCACTCCTGTTCAATTTTTGGAAAAGTTTGAGAAGGATTCTTGTTAGTTCTTACTTAAATGTTTGGTAAAATTCATCAGTGAAGCTTTAGGATCCAGGGCTTTAGTCTTTGGGGAGATTTTCAATTACTAATCAGCCTCCTTACTAGTTAACAGGTCTATTTAGACTTTATATTTTCTTCACAGGTTAGTCTTGGAGTTTTATATAGCTAGGATTTTGTCCATTTCATCTAGGTTATTTAATTAGTTGGTGTACAGTTTTGGATAGTAATCTCTTTGAACCCTTTTTTATTTCTGGTGGATTGGTAGTAATGTCTACAATGCATTTCTGAGTCATCTCCCTTTTTCTTAGCCTATCTAGTTATTTCTGCCAATTTTGTTGATATTTTCTAAGAACCAATTATTGGTTTCACTTTTCATTGATTTTCTGTGTTATTTTTGTCTCTTTATTTCCTTCCTTCTGCTAGCTTTGGTTTGAGTTTGTTCTTCCTCTAGTTCCTTAAGTTACAAAGTTATGTGGGGTTTTTGAGAACTTATTTCTTTTTAAAATATTTTTTAGTTATGGGTGGACACAATATCTTTATTTTATATTTATGCTGCACTGAGGATCGAACCCAGTGCCTCATGCATGCTCTGAGCCACAACCCCAGCCCCAGCTTATTTATCTTTAAATAGAGCCTTTGTAGCTATAAATTTTCCCCTTTGCATTGTTTTTCTGTGTCCTTTAAGTTTTATGTTGTTTTATTTTGACTCCTAAGGATATTCTTATGATTTCTTCTTTTATCTATTACTTGTTCAACAGTATGTTGTCTACTCAGTTTCCCTTCTGTTGCTGATTTCTAATTTCATCCCTTTATGGTCAGAAAGATGTTTGTAATGATATCTGCCTGTTAAAATCTATTAAGATTTAATTCATGGCCTAACAGATTGTCTCTCCTGGAAAATATTCCATGCATGGTTGAGTATGCCTACTGTTGTTGAGTAGAGAGTTTTGCACGTGTCCATTAGACCTAGTTGTCCTGGTCTATTAGGTCTTCTATTTTCTTGTTCTACCCATCAGAGAGTTGGGTATTGAAGGATCCAACTATTATTTTTAGAAATACCTTTTTCTCCTTTCAATTGTTTTCCTTTGTACATTTTGGTGGTCTGTTATTTGGTGCATAAATGCTTATATAATTTTTTATCTTCCTGCTATATTAAACCTGTTATTAATATTATGTCCTTCATCTCTTACAGTCGGCTTTTGATTTAAAGTCTATTTTGTTTATCTGATATTAATTAGCCACTCCTTTCTTTAATTACTAGCTATGTGGACTATCCTCTCCATCCTTTCACTTTCAACCTGAGTCTTTGCATCTAGAGTGAATATCTTATAGACAACACATAGTTAGATTGTGTGGGTTTTTTTTTTTTTTTGATACCAGGGATTGAATTCAGGGGGACACTGAGCCACATCTCCAGCCCTATTTTGTACTTTATTTAGAGGCAGGGTCTCACTGAGTTGCTTGGCACCTCGCCATTGCTGAAGCTGGCTTTGAATTCATGATCCTCCTGTCTCAGCCGCCCGAGCCATGCGCCACCATACCCAGAGGATTGTGTATTTTTAATCCATTCTTTTTTACTAAAGTTTTATTTTATTGAAGAATCTTAAAATTTATTATTATTATTATTATCTTATTTTTATTTGCCATGCTAAAAATTGAACCTAGAGCATTGCTCATGTGAAGCAAGTATTCCGCCACTGAGCTGCATTCCAGGCCCTAATACCTCTTTTTTCATTAGATAGTTCAATCTATGAACATTTAAAATTAATTGTTAATAATACAGGACTTCTGTCATTTTGTTTCCTTGTTTTTTGGCCCGCATTTCCTGCATTACTGTCTTTTTTGCATTTAGTTGGTATTTTTCACAGTAAGTTGTTTAAATTCTTATTTCCTGCTGTATACATTCTGTAACTATTTTCTATGTGGTTACCATGGGAACCATATTAATCTCCTGAAGCGGTAACACTCTCATTTGAATTTTTAAAAAAAATTTTTTATGAATATGCTTTTTAAAAATTATTTATTTATTCCTATTTGTTATATATGATGGCAGACTGCAATTCATTTCATATTACACATATACAGCACAACTTTTCAAATCACTGATTGTACACAAAGTATTTTCACACCATTTGTGTCTTCATACATGTACTTAGGGTAAAGATGTCTAAGTCATTCCACCATCATTCCTATCCCTTTGCCCCTTCCCTCCCCCTTGCCTTATCTAAAGTTCCTCCATTCCTCCCATGCTCCCCGCTCCATCACCATTATGAGTCTGCATCCTCATATCAAAGAAAACATTCAGCCTTTAGTTTTTTGGGATTGGCTAATTTCACTTAGCATTATATTCTCCAACTCCATCCATTTACTTGCAAATGCCATGATTTTATTCTCTTTTAATGATGAGTAATGTTCATTGTGTATATATACACACCAAAATTTCCCTATCCATTCATCTACTGAAGGACATCTGGGTTGGTCCCACAATTTAGCTATTGTGAATTGTGCTGTAATAAACAATGATATGGCTTTGTCCTTGTAGTATGTTGTTTTAAAGTCCTTTGGGTATAAACTAAGGAGTGGGATAGCTGGGTCAAATCATGGTTCCATTCCAAATTTTCCAAGGAATCTCCATACTGCTTTCCATATTGGAAATATTTCCATATTTCCAATTTGCAGTCCCACTAGCAATGTATGAGCGTGCCTTTTCCCCCACATCCTTGCCAACACTTATTGTTGTTTGTATTCTTTTTAAAAATTTTTTTTTTAGTTGTTGATGAGCTTTTATTTTATTTTTATTTATTTGTATTCTTGATAGCTGCCATTCTGACTGGAGTGAGGTGAAATCTTAGAGTAGTTTTGATTTACATTTCTGTAACTGCTAGAGATGTTGAGCATTTTTTCATATGTTTGTTGATTGACTGTATATCCTCTTCTGAGAAGTGTCTGTTCAGTTCCTTGGTCCATTTTTTGATTGGGTTATTTGTTTTTCTTGTGTTAAGGTTTTTGAGTACTTTATATATCCTAGAGATTAGTGCTCTATCTCGTGTGCTTGTGGTAAAAATTTGCTCCCATTCTGAAGGCTCTCTATTCACCTCACTGATTGTTTCTTTTGCTGAGAAAAAACTTTTTAGTTTGAATCCATCCCATTTATTGATTCTTGGTTTTAATTCTTGTGCTACAGTAGTCTTATTAAGAAAGTTAGGGCCTAATCTGACATGATGGAGATTTGGGCCTACATTTTCTTCCATTAGGTGTAAGGTCTCTGGTTTAATTCCTAGGTCCTTGATCCACTTTGAGTTGAGTTTTATTCATGGTGAGAGAGGTTTAATTTCATTTTGTTACATGTGGATTTCCAGTTTTCCCCGTACCATTTGTTGAAGAGGCTATCTTTTCTCCAGTGTATGTTTTTGGCATCTTTGTTTCTAATATAACTGTAGTTATGTGGGTCTAATTTGAGTTTATACTGATTTGACTGCAGTAACATAAAAACTCTGCTCATTTAACAGCTCTAACTTCACTGCTCTCAGTTGCTGATGTTACAAAATTTACATCTTTAGTTAAGTGCTAGATAGAAATCTGGTAAATGAACCTTGAAGGTTTAGAAATGATGCAACTCAACTCATTCTCTGTGGGAATTTTGAACCAAATGAAAAATGTAATCGCTATACCTCTTAAGCCTGCTGGAGATTCACTAATTCATTATGTCTTGATGTATCTCAATGACTGGATGATATTTTTTGATAGGTTTAGGTCTTTGGTGAAATCTCAAAGAACCTTTTCACACTGCTTATCCTGTTATTTGCTTTATTCATATTTTATACTAGGTACTATTGGATTTTTTTTTGAAGGCATTTTAAATCCTAAGAGAGGTCTCTGCTGCCATCAAAGATCCAGGGATTCCACAGGGATGTCACATCTACGTGGTTCTAGGACAACTTAATGAGAAATCTTGAGAACTTGACAGGGCTCTTGAATATTAAAACAACTGTAGGAAGCATGTTCTTGACTCAACTATTACTTTCAATTAGGTTTAGAGAAACAGAAGTGAGATCTGCCCACCCCTGAGCATTTGGGGAGTGTCAGAAAGAATACTATTTTGTTTTATTTCTGAGGACTGAAATCTATTTAATCAAAACATTAGGGAGTGTATAGATGATGACCACCCAGAGCAAATCATACCCTAAAAAATCCTACAGAACAGTAAGAAACACTGGTGACCGGGATGAAGGTAGATACCTTTATGTTGGGGTGCAGCCGCATTAAAGTCCTCTTGGTGTACTCACTGTTGATGCCCAGGGCCAGCTCCACTTCTTTGTAGAGCATGATGAAGATCCGCACGCCCTGTTGCTGCCACAAGAGAAAACACATGGAGAATGAGTGTCTCCGAAGGTGCTGGGGGGTTGCCTTTTCTTCTTTTTCTCTGTGTTGTACTTGCTTTCTTCTAAAAATAGGTACAATAAAATATTTAATGAAAAAGGCAATACAAAGAGGTGACATATAACTATATATTGACAGAAATAGAAAAAAATACATATATTGTTATATTTGCATTCTTACCACTTATATCAAAAGAGTGTCCACATTCAACTGATTACAGATCTAGAGTGTTGAAATAGTAACCTCAACTGCTGAACATGTCCTATAGTCCTGCATTCTTAATTTTCCCCAACTCACTGAGGGAAGCTCTAACCTGAGCCACGTGACAGGATTAGGGATTTTGCCTGTTTACTAACATCATACCTCAATTAGTTTAAATAATAATGATGAGAAACTTAGACACAATTGCATATGCTAAATATCCCTGAAGTGTTGGGGGGGGGTGTTTTCATAGAATTTCATTTTAAAAATTTATTTAAATGGAGAAAGTATTCCTTTTTTAATATTTTAAATTTTATTTTATTTTAATTTTCTTGTGTTTCTGACATTCTTTTTATGTTTGACTTAGTTACACATGACAGTACAATGACCTTGACATATCAAACATCTGAATCAGATGGGATATAATTTCTCATTTTTCTGAGTGTACAGGTTGCAGAATCATATTGGTCATACAGTCACGTATATACCCAAAGCAATAATAATGTCTGTTTCATTCTACTATCCTTCCTATCCTCCCATCTCCTCCCCTCCCCTCCCTTCTCATCACTTCTCTCTACCTAATCTAAGGTAAGATTATTCTTTTTTTTTTCACATCTTCATACATGTATTTTGTATAATGATGAGGGTCTCCTTCCACCATCCATGCAATTCCTCTTCTCCCTCCCATTCCCTCCCATCTCTCTTCCCTATCTAGAGGTGATCTTCTCATGCTCTTCTTCCCTACCCCATTTTGAGTCACCCCTCTTATATCAGAGAAGACACTGGGCATTCGTTTTTTTGGGATTGGCTAACTTCACTTAGCATAATCTGCTCTAATGCAGGGAAACAGAGAAAGTATTCCTTAATCTTAAAAGATAAATATCTTGGTTCATCCTCTTAACTCACAAGGAGATTATCAATCTCTACTTCACTTGTGAAAGGACATCTTCAGAAGGAAGCTTCTCTAGCATTTAAAAAAAAAGTCCCTGAGTTCCAATGGGAGTTTGGAGTATAATGGACACAAATTAACACAGGTGCATCCTTAGATTTTGTATCTAAAAGAAAAGAGACAAGGCTGTTGTGATCCATGCAACATTACCAAAATAAATTTTAAAAAGTGCTGGGTAAGCTCTAATATTAAAATAACATTATTAATATGAACCATTAAAGAGACAATGTCCAACAACTGGTACAGAAAAACATGAGTGTTTTCTACATTAGGTCTGGGTGGTGACTGGCTTTTGGACCAGGTTAAGCTGCCCCCCACCTGAAGCCTCCTGTCTTCCCTGTCCACTTGTTGGGACCCTCTTCCACATACAGTGCAGGATCCATTTCTGCCAGGAAACATTCAGACTAATTTGTGGATTGCTTTTTTACTTTTTGGTTTGTACCCTCAGAATTTCTCTGCAGTCTGTACCGTTTTAATTTGCATTCTTTTTACTCAGCAGATCTGAAAGCTTTCTGAAACATATCCACATGCCTAAAAGACTACAAATCTAAATTATACCTAGGCATTTAGCACCGTTGAGATTAAAGGCAAGAATTTTTCCATAATATTTTCTAGAGTGCTAGAGATGCCACTCTATCTAATAAACTATGATGACAAGGAATTATTTAGCTATAGCTTAAACTAACATTTCACAGTAATTAGTCATTGTTCACAATGGAAATCTGAATCAAAAATTTAAGAAGTTTTACTGAGTTGAATTCATCTAATGCATAAGAAGTGAATATTTTTGCAATGCTCTGTAATGTGAAATAACATCAAAGTTAATATTTTTAGGTAGCAGATCACAGAACATAAAAATCTTAGAAAAAAACATAACAGTCCCCTAGTGTTGTTCTGTCAATACTGAGATGAAAGTTTTGGGTCCTGAATTCCTTATAACACAACATCACTTCAAAATGCTAATATCCCATCTCTCTTGATGTTAGTGATATCTGAAAGTGTATATATTTTTGAAGGGACACATTAGATTTACATTCTGGTATATAGTAAGGAGATCTGAATACCAGATGGTTCACCTTTGCTCTGGGAGCTGAAAAGTAGAACTAGATTATTTTATTATTCTCCTCTACTGTTCAGGTCTATTTTGCTATTTGAGTATTTGAGGATTCAGCCCTGAATAATGGTTACCAAAATAAAAAGGGAAAGAGATTTTCCCAATGAAAAACAGAATATAAAGCTTAAAACCCCAAATTTCAACCTAAATTATAGACTCTTAACACCTGACATCTTTCATCATGGTTCATTTGTTTTAAATGGATGAAGTTCTACTTCTTAGACTGAAGACATTATTACTCATGCAGGGCAGTAGTTGCAAATTAGGAACTTGGCCTGAATCCTGCAGTTTTCCATTTACCTGCATAACTAATGGATTTTTTAAATAACAGAGATGTTAACACTAATGGATTACATTATTACCTTCCATTTATTAATACCTGACATTTTCTTCTACATTATTGCTTTTCTCATTTAAATAAATTAACTCTAAAGGAAATAGGGTAGAGACTTTTAAGTCTTTTTATCATAAATACAAAATGACTAACAAGGAAGTAATTAAATATAAAAAGGCCATTTTAAATATGGTTTACAATAATTTACTTCCACCTATAGCCACAATAAATAGCTAACTACTGAAAAGAGTTCTGTGACAATAAAACAGTAATTTCCTCTTCTTTTGGTCATGGTATTTCAACACTATTGAACTCTATGAAGAACAGAGGAAAATAGTTCCTTGGCAACAAAGGTATTTGCTTTGTTGTGATAGTATGAGCTGATAAAATATGTGAGAAATAATTCTGCAAATCAAAAGGCAAATGGACAAAAAGAACTGGCATTAATTCTGTAATTTAAAAATGTACACTTTCAAACACCCGCCTCTTACTAATGCCTTTGAGTGGCCCTAGAGGAAATTACTTTTTGCTCAGAGAAGAGGAAGCCAAATACCAATAGGGGAAGTAGGGAGAGGGATATTTCCTCTGCAATGCCACATTTCCTGTAGCCACTGAACTAACCAATTCAACCCAAAGGTCCCAGAGAATAAACCCCACGAAACATAAGACTCAAAAGATGAAAGTTCTGTCTTCTTTTCTAATGAGTGTCTCATCAAGTACAGCAGACACAACATGACCAACAGTAGGAATTTTGAGAAGCTGTAGTGAGATATACAAAATACTTGTAAAAACAGTGAAAATAAATTTTTTTAACATTTATGGTGGAAATGAAACAGACTTTGTTTCTTGATCAACTTTTTTTCCTGATTATTCAAAATAGTATGGTTCAAATATTTTTTAAATGCAGCCCAATTCACCCAGTGTCTGAAAATAGCTTACTTTACATACCCTACACCAAATTATAATCACTGATTTTATCATTTGCCAAGGACTTCCCCAGAGATACAATATATTAGGAAAATGAAAAGCAAAGAATAAGCAGCAATCACATTCTTGCCATTTAAAAGCAAGAAGCACTGAAATGTAACTGCTCATATGCTTTTTTGTTTTATTTTAACCAATTTTGTTAGAAACATGGTCCTGAAGGTGAACGATATGTTCTCCCCTTCCATACAAGCCATCCTGGCCTACAACTTGGTAAGAGTCCACTTGTTTTCTGTGCAGAGATGTGATTATTTGTGCGATTTCTCAGACACAGACATCCTTCCCTTTTACTGATCAATGACTACAGCTCCATCATGTGCCTTGTGTTTCGAGAGAAGAAAGAAACCTGCAGACAAATTCAGCCTAAAAACAACAAAAAAAAAAACCCTTCTTCTGTGCCTCTCCAGGTTACTGCACTTGAAGATTCCACCTTGTAGTTCTCATAAGGAATATCACTTATTTCTAAGGTTGAAACACACTATTAGGGTGCAGGCACGTGGTCACATAACTATGACACAATGTATTATCACTTAGTGCCGTGAATGAGGAACTGTGGAACCCCTGGGATGCTGCTTTCTAAAAGGTGTGAACACTCTGCCTATCAACATTGGCTTTCCCCCATTGAAAATGGTGATACTGCTTAGCAGGAAGCTAAAGAAACAGGAAAATATCAACTTGGCTATAACCGGTACAACAAAATATTGTACTTTCCCATAAGAAACAGACATTATAAGAGATGTTCGTCTATATGTTGCTATGAGGCAAAAATGCTTTCTAAACTCCTTTCCAAAAAAAAAAAAGAGAGAAAGAAAAGAAAAAAAGCCCTGCAAACCAAGATATAAAAACAAAAGCATTCATTTTAATCAACCTTGTGGACCTCTGGGACCCATTAATGGAAATATTATGTTTCAATCCTATTCACTGCAAGAGTAGTATGTGGCTTTCCGAAACTAAATTAGTTATGCAAAAGCAGTGTTTATGTGCATATGAATTGTCAAATTGGAATGATATGAGTGTTTAAAAATTTATGATCAAAGAAGAAATACCGTATGTTCGAGATTAAGGAAGAAACACCCACTAAATGTACCATTGAGACATTAATTTTTAATAGTATTACCATTTCCTTAGGAAATTTAAAAATCATTTTCCATAATTTAAAAATTACAAACTTCAGAAAGTAGACTAACAGGAAACAAAGCTCCATTATCAAACAATAATGCTTACTTGGTCATGGTAGCCACCAGGGCCCTCACCAGGATCCGTGGGCCATAAAAGCAAAGAGAAGGCACACCAATGACATAAAGACAACCAGGGAGGTACATGGAAGGCAGAAGAAAACACTTGCCAGTTAACAGGGGGTAAGGGACAGGCCTGCAGGATGGTCCTGAGTCCTCCTCAGGCTTTCTCAAGTTTACTTAGGCTTCCTACAGACACACCACACTCAAGAGAATCTAAAATTTAGCTTTTTAGGGTTGGGTTGTGGCTTAGTGGTATAGCACTTAGAGGCCCTTGATTTGATCCCCAGCATTTCAAACAAACAAACAGAATTAAGCTTTCAGAATTTGAGTTCTCCCCATTTTTTCTCACTTTTCCTGAACACCATTTGGATAAGACCAACCCCCCACACTTTGACCCTGTACTTCCCCACAGAACATCCTTACTGTTTACCATAAAGTCCAAACCACTGGCTTGGCTCCCAGAGTCCCACATCCTAGCTGCAAACAAGCACTTTGGTTGCAGTCCATCCTGCCTATGCTAACACTAAGGCGTCACAGCCTTGTCACCTCACTGTGACTGACAGCCTCTCTAATTCCTGTTCCCTCAACATTTACTGCACTTAGTAATTTCTTCTTTCTTTTTCAAGAATTTCTTTTTCATTTCATCCTAAATGCTGTCCATTATTCATATTGTGTGTGTGGGGGTCCCCAACCAGACCTACCCAATGCTTTTCCTCCTACTTTTGTATCTGGGCACTGTCTCTGTACTCAATTGATACATGTGTTGCTTTGTAAGCTCTGTCAGCTCAGGAATTGTGACTTTTATTTAAATACATCTCAACATGATTATCCAAGTCTCAGCACATAGTAGGCATTCATCAAATATGTGTTGACAGAAACCTAAAACAGTGAAGTACTGGGTAAACGCTCTGAGGAGAGGACTTCATGGTATGAGTGAAGATAGCAAGGCGTGACTAGGAAGTTTGACTAAATGGAATCTTGAGGGGAAATGGGAAAGCTGCCATTTCACAGAGAAAAACATGGGGAAAGTCACAGCCCATTCAGTAGGTAGAAAGAATCTTACTGATTTCTTCGTAAGACCTCCATGGGCAGGGCCAGAATCCCATTCACTGAGACACCCTGCCTATTGATTCCTGGGGTACCTGGCTCATAGGAGACCCTCTGTGAGTGATTTTTTAAAAGAACATATGAATAATGATCATCGGGATATGAATTTCTAATTTTGTGAGAGGAATAAATTTGTCTATCAAAAAGGTGTTGTTGGTAGAATATGTGTCTGAAAAGAGCTGATCAACTTGTATTTCCCTCAGTATCAGCAGTGAAGTTTGACCGTCTATGGACATCGTGGAAGGTCTGATATAAAGGCATGGGGAGATGATGGGGGGGGGAGAGTGAATAGGGAAAGGGTTCGTTTAGAAGATAGGAAGAAACCAATGGAGCCTGTGAGACACAGAAACACTATCCCTTAGTTACTAAGCATCCAAATCCACTAGAATGTTCAATGACAGGGGGAAAAAATAAAATAAAAGATTAAGACAGTTCCAAATAGGGGTGACAAGGTGAGCACTCACTAATTTGAACATGATTGGTAACAAACCCAGATCATTTTAATTTAATTTGGAAGGTCCACTACACAAACAGAATTCATTAGCAACATGAATGCGGTCATGATTGATTGAGCTATAACTGGCTCCAATTATTCACTTTGTATAACAAAAAGATATCCTCATTGCTCACACAGCATCTACAGGAAATGTTTCATATTATTACTGTGAACTGAGCCCAAATTGGAAACAAAATCCCATTGATTTTTACTATCCTCCTCTATACCAGCTTGGCCCCATCTGACTGAAACATTCTCCAAATTACTTTGTCTTCTGCTTAATGACAGATAATGAACTAAATAAAGGCTGTGTTTCATTTCATCATCAATTATTCACCGATGAAGTTTTATTACAATTTTTGACCTATTAAATTAACTGGTCATAACTAACCAACATGAATTAGAGCTTCTAGTATAATCTGGGCTATGAATTAGGCTAAAATATTTATACACTCAAAAGTAATTTAAAAACAGAACCAAATGAACTGGAAAACAGAAACCTGTTTTAGGTTGAACTCTACAGTAAAAAGTTGTAAATATACAGGAAGAGCTTTGAAAAAGACAAGAGAATTCAGAGGCAACACACATTTAAAAAATTATATCAGCATTTGTTAAGAAAATACATACTGCTTTTCGTTTAAGAATACAGTCCAACCTCCAACGATTTCCTTCCACCACTGGGCGTTTCAGGAAGATTTCTGGGCTCAACCTGAAATCATAAAACCAAGATTTCAAGTCACTAAAACGAAATATAAAGTTTTGATCATGTCAAGAAAATCAAAGGCAGTTTTAGACCAGATGCTATCACCATATTCTACTGTGGTGGGTCCATGAGCAACGTCATAGGAAATAGAAACCATATATATACCACTGAGGATGTTGCTCAATGGTAGGACCCATGCTTAGCTTGTGTGAAGCCCTGGGTTCAATCTCCAGTTCGTATCTAGCCCCTCCCCCCCCAAACAAACAAACAAACAAAAAACCCCACAACTCTATGTCCATTTCTCTCTCTCACACACACACACACACACATACACTTATATACATGCAGATCCTGTCGAATGCTCACCCTGCAGTCATTCTCCACTCTCCCCCCTCCTTCTGTCAGCGCCTGCATCCCACTATAGCATCTGAACATCCTAAATACTACCTTTCTCAGATTCCTGTGTAGCTACAGCATGCTGTGACATGATCCTGGATGATGAGATATACATGAGTAGGTACATGGGGTTAATGAGAATGCTTTTCCTCCTTTTTTTTTTTTGAGACATGCAGGCATGTGCATACACAGAGAAAGTTCTGCCCATCCCCTCCAGTTTTAGGATGGGCTTTATATGGAGGCAAGCGCTCACAGTGGTGCGACCATACTGAAATTCTAATGGGAAGATCGGAACTCTCCTTCAGCTCTCGGATTGCTCAACTTTAGATTTCTCGTTAAATAAGAGGAATAAACCTTCAGTGTTGAAGGCTTCTTTAACTGAGCATTTGGTTACCTCAAGCCAAGAGCAGCCTGATACACATGCTCACTGACTTCCTCTGCCAGCAGCAGCATCCATGGAAGCCAGAGGCTGTCTGAGCATGGAAGGAGGAAGGTGTGCCGATCTGTGAAATTCTCCCAGTGCGAGGGTGGGCCTCTGGGCTCCTCTCCCTCAGTGGTACCACAAGGCAGCTCAGAATATAGCAGTCATGCTTTCCCCTGGGGTGGGCTTTAAAGTCGGTGTGAACTAAATCTATATTCAATGCCATTCTCTTACAAAGATGAAAAACAGGCAGTCAAAGAGCTCTTCTCTGAAATGCTAGGCCTGGAGGAGTGAGTGGACAGTGCAGAGTACAGCTTCCTAGAATTCTAGACTGGACACTGTCCTGCCAGGGGGTTCCCTAAGCACACCGAAACAACAGGGTTGACGGGAGCCAAAAAGAGGAAAAGAAATCATTTTCTACTCTATTTCATTAAATTGGAAAAAAAAAACAAAGTTAAATTTTCTAAAGGAAATACATTGGATAGCCTAAAAAAAAAGAGAGGCAGGCATATAGCATAAATACTTAAGAGTAAGAAATAAGCTTAAAAGTAGTTTATGTCCAAATAAACAAATAAATGACACATGGCCACTGATATGAAGAGATCAAAGAATTTAAGAGAGTCCTGTTTTAAGAAGAAAAGTGCACTGCAAGTTTACTCTTTGGAGATATTCATTTACTGGAGATATCCAATACCACATACATCCTGTCAATGTTTTTGAGATACACACTAATTATGAATTCAGAGAATTTCAGTTGGGGACCACTTTCAACGGTATACTCTATAAGTTTTTTACATTACTTATCCCATAAGCATTGTGTACCCAGAATGCAGAGTATTCTACTAGATAGTTTGAAGGATCTTAAGATGGCTCCCAAGAGGCTCTCAGTTTTGAGGATAATGCATAAAAAGATATAAGGCAAATATTCAGACTATAAACAAAGTGCAAATAATGGCCACATGGCAGCGAGAAAGCAGCTATGATTTACCAGGCATCTTTATATTAGGACCATATATATTTTACTATGCAAGTCAAAAGAATAGCATAATATGGCATTTCACTGACCCTTGGACACCAATGACTGTAACATACATCATTACTATATGTACCACCAAGAAAAAAAAAATGATGACAATTACAACTATAAGATGGTACAGTGTGTGGAATGCACCCTGATTTCAGAGATGTTAAAATATGCCTTTCAGGCACTGGGATTGTAGCTCCATGGTAAAGAGCTTGCCTAGCACATGGGAGGCACTGGGTTTGTTTCTCAGCACCACATAAAAATAAATGAAATAAAGGTTTTGTGTCCATCTACAACTAAAAATATATTTTTTAAAAAATGTGCCTTTAACTGAAAGTACTACATGGAAGGTTTTATGGCTTTCGATGCTTGTATAAGAAAATAAAAGGATTAAAATCAGTGATTCTCTAGAGCTTAAGAAGACAGAAAAAGTTACAGTCAAAGTGAAAAGAAGGAAGAAAATAATAAGGATAAAAGTGAAGATTGATGAAACATAAAAGTGAGAAATAGTAAATTTGATAAAATGAAAAGCTATCTTTGAAATATCACTAAAATTGGGGCTGGGGTTGTGGCTCAGTGGTAGAGTGCTCACCTAGAATGTGCAAGACCCTGGGTTTGATCTTCAGCACCACATAAAAATAAGTAAATAAAATCAAGGTGTTGGGTCCAGCTACAAATAAAAAATAAAATTAAAAAAAAAAGAAATATCACTAAAATTGGTAAACTTTTAGCAAATTTTCTTAAAAGGAAGAAGCATAAATTAGCAATATGAAATAAATGAGGATGAGAAACCACTACAAGCCCTATAGATATTCAAATAATATTAAATGCTTAATAAGAATATTATAAATAAATTTATGCCAGTATTTATGATAATTTAGATACAATGGACAAATTCCTTGAAAAAAATTCTATAATGGTAACAAAAAGAAATTCAAATTAATCCTTTATCTTTAAAAAATTAAATCCATACTTTAAAACTTTCTCACAAGGGAAAACTATAGGTAAATTTTATCAAATAATTAAGGAAGAAATGTCAATCCTACCCAAACTCTTTCAGAAAATAAAGTAGGAGACAATACTAAATCATTTAAAGAGGCCAGCATTAAATATGACCATAACAATGAAAATCTTTACCAAAAATTCAGCAGCTTATAAAAATGATAGTATCTTAGAACCAATGGGGTTATCCTAAAAACACAAGACAGTTCAATAAATTTTGTAGAAAAAAAAATCTGATAAAGTTTAATTTCATTCCCAATGAAAACTCTTTACAAATTATAACTAGAAATGCTCAGTATAGGGCCATTATAAAAAATATACATTTTGGGACTGGGATTGTGGCTCAGCAATAGAGCACTTGCCTCACATGTGTGCGTCACTGGGTTCAATCCTCACACCACATAAAAATAAATAAACAAAATAATTGTTTAAAAAAAATTATATATATAATGAAAAGCTTTTTAAAAATTTTATATATATATAAAACAAACACAGTTATAAAAGACTGAATGTTTTCTCCTAACACTGGGAACAAGGTATGGAGATCTACCTTTCCATTTCTACTCAACATTCTATTGGTGATTTTAGCCAATGCAATAAGGCAGGAGAATAAAACACAAGACATATGAATTTAAAAGGCAGGAGGCTAATCATCTTGATTTGTAGGTCACATGATCATGTATGGAGAAAAATGCTAAGGAATCTACAAAAGTTTGCTAGCAGTAATAAGTGAATTTAGATAGAAAGTTAATACCCAAAAATCAGTTGAATTTCTAGTTCTTTATGCTCAGTGAATAATTGAAAATGAATTTTCATGCCATTTACAATAACCCCCCAAAATATGAAGTACTTAGTGACAAATTTAACAAAATATACATAAGACCTCAACATAGAAAAGTACAAAATAGTGCTGAGAAAAATTATATTAAATCTAAATAAATGAAGAACTATTTAGTATTCATGAATTGAAGGACTCAATATTAAAAAAGAAAAACAGAATTTGAAGTACCATGTAACCAGTGATACATTTACTATTTTTTTCCTTTGGTTTCCTTGGTCTGGAGGAAAATCTGGAAATGGGATTGACACAGAGAGAACATGGAAGTCCTCTAGTTCAGGTTTGACAAGAAAGAAATGGGGTTTTTTTTGCAGCATCAGGAATTGTAGCAGAGAGTCCCCAGGCAGCTGGGTGTGGTAGTACATGCCTACAATCCTAGTTACTCAGAAGCTGAGGCAATAGGATTGCAAGTTCAAGACCTACCTAAGGCAACTTTGCAAGGTCCTATCTCAAAACAAAAATAAAAAGGACTGGGAATATAGCTTAGAGTACCTCTGTGTCCAATCCCTGGTACTGGGAAGAAGAAAGAAAGTAAAGAAAAGAAAAGAAAGAGAGAAAAGAGAGAGCCTACAGGCACAAAAACTCTGTGTATGGAGCTTTTGTTTCCAGTTGGAAGAGCAATGATCCCAAGAGGGTCATGTAAGTTCCCAAGGTGTGGCTCTGCACAGGGGTGCTATCACAAAAATCATGTGGCAGAACGGGGTAAATAAAAACTCACCTTTCCAGTTAGAGCACTAAAAAGGGAGGTTGTGAACTAGAAAGTAATTGAGAGATCATGGAGAAGGAGAGGCTCAGGAAAGCAATCCCATAAAGTTGTTTATAATCCTCTGGCTCAGTCACAAATTATCCATGTGCATGGATTTAATTCTAAAACAGCATTGTGGAATTTGAGAACCAAACTAAGAAACAGATCAACACTCAGACTCGCCACTAGGTGGCACATATATGGAAACACCTAAACAGCGCTATAAAAATTTTTAAAACAAAACTGACATAAAACCATACCCCCCCAGACATTGCTGGTGGTGCAAGCAATATGGAAAGCACTATGTAAATTCCTTAGAAAACTTGGAATGGAACCACCATTTGACCCAGCTATCCCACTCCTTCGTCTATACCCAAAGGACTTAAAATCAGCATACTATAGCTGATAACACAGCCACGTCAATGTTTATAGTAGCTCAATTCATAGTAGTTAAATTGTGAAACCAACCTAGATTTCCTTCAATAGATGAATGGATAAAGAAACTATGATATATATAATATATACACACACACACACACACACACACACACACACAATGGAATATTACTCAGCAATAAAAGAAAATAAAATTATGGCATTTGCGGGTAAATGGATGGAAGTGGAAAGTATCATGCTAAGCGAAGCAAGCCAATCCCCCCAAAACCAAAGGCCAAATGTTCTCTCTGATAAGTGGATGCTGATCCATAATGGTGGAGGGTGTGGGGAAAAAATGGAGAAACTTTGATTGGGCAAAGGGGAGGGAGAGAAGGGTAGGGGGTGTGGGGGCAGAAAAGATGGTGGAATGAGATGGACATCATTATCCTAGGTTCATGTATGACTGCACATATGGTGCAATGCTACATCGTGTACAATCAGAGAAATAAAAAGTTGTACTGTAATTGTGTACAATGAATCAAAATGTATTCTGCTGTCATATATATATATATATATATATATATATAAAATTTAGATTTTTTAAAAAACCCATACCCATGGAAATCTGGTTAGAATTTTCTGCCTAAATCAAAATGAGTCAATCACTTACTAAAATAGAAATTACCACACTCCCCATAAGATCTAAAAGCTCATTGTCTTATAATATTAAACTTTTCTAAAATATAATAAAAAGTATTGGGCACACAAAGAACCAGAAAATTCTCAACTATCATGGAAAAAATAACCAACAGATGTCAACAGGAAAATGACATGGAGGTTGGTATTATCTAGTTTAATCCCTTCTCAGGTATTATAAAAATACTGCAATAAGTAAGGTTGAACACTCTTAAAACAAAGAGAAAGGAAGAAAGTTTCCTCAAAGAAATTGAAGATATAAATTGAACCAAACAGAAACTTTCAAAATGAAAAATACAATTTCCACAAAAACATGAAAGAAAAAAGCAAACCTCATTGAATAGGCTCAGTACCCAAAATAGAGATAACAGAGGAATGAAGCAGTAAACCTGAAGATAGCTAAAAATAAATAATCTAATCTGAACAAGAGAGGAAAGATTGGGGAAAAAAAGGAACAGAGATTCACAACCGTGAGACATTACCAAAAAAGCACTTTTTGTGTTACTGGAAACATAGAAGAAGAGAAAATTACCAAAGAGGGAAAAAAAGTCTCAAGAAACAATGGTAAGAATTTCTCAAATGTGGCTAAAGACATACAACTATAGACTCAAGAAGCTCAGAGTTCCCCCCAAAAGGATAAACCCAAATAATATAACCAAACTACTGAAAACTAAAAATAATGGGGAAAATACTGAAAGCACTCACAAGAAAAATTACACATTATTTAGAGGTAAATAACAATTCAAGTGACAAAAAATTCGCATCAGAAACCATGGAGTCCAGAATGAAATAGAACAACTACTTTAACTAGAATGTAAAGACCTCCTACTGAGGATGTGGAGAAAAGGGAACATTTACACTGTTCATGGGACTGTAAATTAGTTACAACCACTATGGACATCAGTATGGAGATTCCTCAAAAGACGAGACATGGAACCATCATGTGTCCCAGCTACACCACTCCTTGGTATTTGACCTAAAGAATTAAAGCCATCATACTATAGAGATACATGCATGCCCTTGTTTATAGCAGCACAATTTACAATAGCCAAACTATGGAACCAGCCTAGGTTTCTATCAATAGATGAATGGATAAAGAAAATGTGGCATACAGACCTAATGGAATTTTATTCGGTCATAAAGAAATGAAATTATGTCATTTGCAGGAAAGTGGATAAACTTGAGATCATTATGTGAAGTGAAAAAAGCCAAACTCAGAAGGTCAAGGGTCATATGTTTTCTCTCATATGTGAAAGCTAGAGAGGAAAAAGGGAAAGAAAGTGAGGGAGTGGGGATCTCATGAAAATCAAAGGGAGATCAGTAGAGGAAAGGGACCAGGGGACAGGAAGAGGGAGGGAGGGAGGACATGCTGGGGGCAACACTGGCTAAATTATATTGATATATTGTGTACATGTACAAACATGTAGAAACAAATCCCATCATGTGCAACTATAATATGCCAATAAAAAAAGTGAAAAGAAAAAAATATGAATACTGATAATGAGATAATCTAAAAACATCAAAGCACAAAACAATTTTTTTAAAACACACACACACACAAAATTCTCCTTCTACTGGCTAAGAAGACAAGCAAACTAACTTTAAAAAGAGGAAAAACAATCTGGCTTTGATTCTCAGTACTACAGAAAAACAAAGAAAAAAGAAGAAGGAGAAGAAAAAGATTTGAACACAGATTTCCAAAAAAGTTTAACAAATATCCAAAAGTCACCATGTCCACCATGAAAAGATGTTGCTGATATAAATTACAACCCCAGTGAAATATTATTACATGCTCTTTGGAATAATGACTGACAATAGCAAGAATTTTCTTCTCATTTTATGAGGTAAGTTACTCTGTTTTATTTCAAAGAGTATGTTGTAATAAGATGTTACCCTAGTACAGTTATGAAAAAGAAATAACACCCTGATTCATTCTCTTGTTGAAAGAGAAAGCAGTCGGTGTCCCATCTCTTTAGATGTTTAAATGAGTATCTATATTTTAGTGTTGAGGACATTCAGAAAAAAATATTGCTTTTTGCATAAAGCATGAAAATATGAGTTTAATGGAAAAAATATTTTCACTCTCTCATCCTTACCAAACTCTATAAAATATTTTTAAAACGACTATAGCACTACATTAAACTTGAATGTATTCTGTAAGTGTTTAGGAAATAGCCAACCAAAGAAAACTTGTAAGTGTGAAACTCTTCTGATCATTGAAAAGACAAAATTTACCAAGGACATAAAGACTAGGGTTAGGCTCCTCTGCAGACAAGGGCATAATGACCATCACCTGCCTTATCCATTGACTCTAGATAGACGATTCTCAACCAAGAGAACACTGCCAACCCCATGCACACCCCCTCCTGCCTCAACTAGGAGACATTTGGCAATGTCTCAAGACATCTTGGTTGTCACAACTGGGAGCTTGCTACTGGCATTTAGTAGGTAGAAGGCAGGGCTGCTGCTAAACATCCTACTATGCATAGGATGTCCCCACAACAAAGAATTATGTAGCCAAAATGTTAATAGTGCCAAGTCTGGGAAAGCAGGCCCTAGGATTACAGATTTTCACATAACTGTATTAAAATATTGTAAATGGCTCACATTCCTATTACTTTCCTGTCCCCGAAATCTAGAATTGAAAGGAAATAAATTGTGATGACATGTTCACACTTCTTATCTAAGGTACCATTTGGAAGGAAATAGACTAGAGATAACTGAGGGGCATTTCAGGCAACTAAGTTCTTAAAAGGAAAACATATTCTAGAGATTTTCATTTCTATGGGAGCCAACGTGGGAACCTGTGATGGGTTTTAACGGTCCAGGGAAACTGGTAATTGTAACTGAAGTCAAGACCACAAAGCCTATACCAACTCCAAGAGTAAAATTTCCTATGTTCTAATGAGTTTTTGATATGAGACTTCTAGTGGCTTTAATAAGCATTATTCCTCTCATGGACATTTTTAAAGAGGGTCAGAAAGTGGAGAGCTGATTAAACTTCCAGAAGAGCTAGCTGAGTCATTACAGTGGACAGTCCAACACTAATGGAGTAAATAGAATGCTTTCAACACAAAGGAACAATCCAAAAGAAACATGGACCTGGTGACAGATACGCTAAGGTAAGTGAAGAAAACTGGTTCTCATTACTTCTACAACCATATTTGCATTGCACTGATTATTTGCATATAATCTTTGCTAGAATGATTATTTGGGCATCTGCTTCCAAATGGAAAGACAAAAACAAAATTATTCAAGCTAAATATTTTAAGCTTATATCTGAAGGTCAGAATTTTTTAAAAGACCTTTCATTGTAGGATATTAGTTAATTAGTTGAGACTGTGGCCAAACCATCTGTGGGTACTACTGGTTTTCAAAATATGCAATTCTTGAATAGCATTTATGGTCTTGTGTATTTCTAAACATAGAAACCTCTTTCTCATGGAAAAATACTAACCACCAATCTGTGATAAAAATTTCTTCTTTCGCCTCTTCCATTGCATTTGCCACATCTTCAAAATATCCTTTGGCATTAACATACCTGAAAGACAAGTTTTTGTCCCATTTTTGGCATTACACAACAGACAATATGATAAAGTAAAACAAGATGCACTGCCTAGATTCTCTACCTCACCACCAGCTTATTTTGTGTAAATGGGAAATGAGGAGTAAAAATACAACACTCTGAGCCAGGTGTGGTGGCACATGCCTATAATCCCAGTGGCTTGGTATGCTGAGGCAGGATGATTGTCGAGTCCAAAGTTAGCCTCAGCAAAAAAGAGGTGCTAAGGAACTCAATGGGACCCTTTCTCTAAATAAAATACAAAACAGGGCTGGGGATGTGGCTCAATGGCCGAGTGCCCCTGAGTTCAAAACCCGCCCCTGCAACTGGAAGGGCAATAAGTAGATACACCCAATTGACCTGATTCCATTCCTCTCTGCTTAAAGAGCAACAGATTAACTGAGCTTCATTATCATATGGGTTTGGTGAATTATCCTGTCCAACACCCACATGGTTTTCCTGAGAAACCTAAAAACTGACCGGAATCTAATCCATGAGTAGAAATTAGAGTAACCATGACTTTTATTTAAAAGAAATCTCTGTTAAGTAAACGCTTTTTCCTAAATTATGGCTAATGACTTAAATAAACCTTCCATTTCCATCACTAAGAAAATGTATGAAGTTAGTTTTAAAAATCAAACTTATAAATCTAATGCTAGTTAACTACACTGAAAAAACTTCAAAACCGGGAAGCTAAACTATGATCAGGTAGTCCTGCGAGGGCCTTAGCAAGAAGGAATTTCGTAAAATATAATTTATAATTTCTGTTTACAGTTTAGAGGCCTTGCCATAGGATATGGATCAGAACTGAGGGAGTTTAGAAACTTGACTCCAGGTGAATTTAGATCACTATAAGATTAGATGCTGTGAATACCTTGGAAGCCCAGGAGCAAAAATATCTTACCATTTAGCTAAGGTGTTATCCTGTACAGCAGCATATGACCCAAATCGATGATCTTTGAGAAAGTTGGTGCCGTGTTTCTGGATGAATTCTTCTATAGCTCCTCCCCACCACCGAGCATGTCTGTAGCTGTTGCATTTTAAAATAAGCGTCCTTTCAAGAAAACCAAAATGTGGGAAAGAATGATCACTCTTGTGTTCTACACACTTAAAGATTAAACACTCCATGTTTTATCTGGTACTGTAGCAAACATGAATGGAAACATTTAGACAGAGAACATTAAAAAACAGGCTTCTAAAAAATTTTGGTACAATTTTCAAAGTACTTATTCACTCATTCACTCGCAAACATGTATTTTGCAAAATTCTACTTACGATAGATCCATAATTGTGCTAGGCTATGAAGAGGGTCATGAAAGAAGTACCAAGTGAGTCCCTACTTTTAAGTGTCAGTTAGAGAACTGTTGGTCCCTCTAGAGGGCATTTCCCTTTGTTACTGTCCAGTGTCCACTTCCTTAGGTTCTAGAAATACCATCCCAATTGCACTTGAGGAGAGTCATTCCTTCTCTTCTTTAAGTCCAAAGCTAAGCAAAGTGGCATATTTCACTTCCTGATCCCTGAAACGGGTTTGGGCATGAAAGCATTAGTCAATTCCACCCAGTAAGAGGAAACCTGAGGACTTGCTCAGAAATGCCAGGAAGATACCCATTCCCGCTGGATCTGGTGTGAGCCTGGGAGGCAGCTATCTTGCCACCATGAGGAGACCAGTCTGAGAATGCAGCAGATCCACAGATGTGAGAGTGGAGAAAAGAAGGGAAAATGTGTCAATGACATAGTCTGAGTTTCAGAATCAGCCCTGCCTAACGTGGCTGATGACTTCTCTCTGGTATAAGCCACTTTGCACTGGATTTTTCTGTCACAATGACTGAACTCTTCTAAGTGGTTACAGATTTATAACTGCTGAAAACAAATTCAGATTAGGTTGCAGAAAGGTTTTTTTTTTCAATGCCAAGTTCAAAGACAAACAAGATATGGGAGCCAGCCATTTCTCTGTCATTGAAGCAGAAATCCAGCAACACACTGATACAACAAAGAGGACTGTGAATGAGGAGCATAAGTTTTCTCTTTGGGTTTTTTTTTTTTGGGGGGGGGGTTCATGAGAAGCCAGAAAGGTGCTATTTATGGGCTCTAAAATAATTATTCAAAAGATTAGGGATGTATAAAAGGCTCCCCTCCATTTGTCAGCCACTGGCCTTCAGAGTGGCGGATGCTGCTAGGGTGCAGACAGGGAAGGAGTGATGGAGCTGGGAGGAGGGAAACAGCTCCATCAGGAGTGGCAAAGGAGCCACAGTGAGCTGCTGGGGGCAGGGCAGGGGGGCAGGGCAGGAAAGGTGCCTGGGCTTAGTCTATCACTCAGCTATTACTGCATGGGCTGAAATGCCTCTGAAAACCTACTAAGGGAAAAGATGCTGTGGGAGAGGTAAGTGACAGACAGAGGCCTTGTCATAGGATACGGATCAGAGCTGCGGGGTCAAGGGGAGGAAGGAAGACAGCAAGGAGGTGAGAAAGCAGAGTGTGGGCAGGGTGGCCAAAGGAACTGCCTCCACAGAACCGTGAAGGCTGTCCCCAGGAGGGGTTGGCAATACAGGCAGAGATCAAGGGCCTGAGATCCTAAGTGGAAGAACCTGGGGGTATTTGACAAAATGACGAGGAGCACAGACACCAGGCAGGAGGCCAGGGAAATCCGGATTTGAATGAATTCCTTTGGCAATGTTGCCTGAGTAAGTCAGGTGGGAAATGAAGATGAGGAAGCTAATAAAGTAGCTGTTGCAACGACCCATCAGAACTGTAGCCTAACTTCTGGAAAGTCATGGAAAAGAGGAACACAGTGCCAGGAGAAAGGGTGAATGGCAGCACCACAGCATTTTCAACAATCCTGAATATTCCCTTCTCAGAGACTAACAGGAAGGGCAGAGTCTTTATACACACACACACACACACACACACGCACAAATGTACATTTGTGCACGTATCTATTGGTACTTGTACAAAGAGAGAAAGAAATGAATATATATTTATATACATGAGGGTGAACTATACAAAGGCAAATGTGTATATGTGTGTGCATATGTACCAATATTCATGTATATGCACATACATACGTATATCTGCGTATCAATCACTTATAATTATAATTACTTATAATTACGTATAATTACGTAATTATAATTATAATCGTATAATTACGATCTTCCAGAAAGAAACACACATATCTGCACACATGTACTCACTAATAACAATCTATAATAAGTACATAACTGAAGTATTTTTTCAAGTTATCTTTTCTTAAAAACTGTAAACAGAATTTTATGAATGAAATCCCTTTTTACATGTTTTACTAACTATAGTGATTCATACAGTAAAACTTTTTTTTTTTAAGTGTAAGCTATCACTCTTATTTGGTAATTGGTGAATTAGCTTAGAAGTAAATTTTGTTAAAATAGGCATATATCTACCCCTAGCATCACTTATTCTGACTCTTACATGAATGATAAGGGGAGGGGAAGGAAGAATAGAAGTACTCAGAGTAGATGAAGGGAAGGGAGGGAGGATGGGAATAGGAAAGACAGAATGAATCAGATGTTATTATCCTATGTGCATATATGATGACACACCAATGTGATTCTATATTACATATAACCAGAAGAATGAGAAAGTATATTCCATATATGTATAATATGTCAAAATACTTTCTACTATCATGTGTAACTAATTAGAACAAATAAAAAATTTAATAAAGTTCATATGAAGAAAAAATCATTTCATTTACTTCACATTGAGGATAAGTTCTAAATAACACATTTTCTAAAATTTTTATTTTTTACATTTTCTTGAGAGAAAAATTTGGCTTTGAGAGTTTTTTAATTTTTAAATTTTTTTTTTTTTAATTTTTGAACTTTTGGGTTGGGAATGTGGCTCAAGCGGTAGCGTGCTCATCTGGCATGCATGCGGCCCGGGTTCGATCCTCAACACGACATACAAACAAAGATGTTGTGTCCTCCAAAAACTAAATAATAAATATTAAAAATTCTCAAAATAAAATAACAAAATAAATTTTTGAACTTTCTACCTTGAAAGATTATCAATTCGAAGTCCATATTTTGTTTCTGTCTCTTTCTTCCCCACCTTGATTCTGAATTCTTTATCTACCAGCAGGACGAAGGCAATAGCTCCGCTGTCTGGCTTCATATACAGCAGGAAGGAGTCTTTCACTATTAACCACCTGTATGAAGGGAACAAAGACTTCAAAATTGTGTCGAACGACTGAAACAAAAAGCATAAATTATTATGACGAGTCTTAAGTATAAGATACTCTAAAAACTGTAGATAAAAATGTAGTTTTTTAGGTACTCTAAAAACTGTAGATGAGACTCTACTGATTCATAAAGTAAAACTTTTTTTTTTTAAGTGTAAGCCATCACTCTTATTTGTTAATTGGTGAATTAGCTTCGTAGTAAATTTTATTAAATTTACTACTCTGTGGGACAGGGGCATTTCTCAAAAGTATTTCCATTCAATTCAATATATATTGAACAGCTTCACAATGGAAAAGTAAAGAGTTAAGCTGAGAATAAGGGTAGATGGGGAAACAGCACCAAGATAAATCAAGACATGGACGTGTGTTCTTGGAGGACCTTACTAGGCTCATGGGGGCTACAAACTGTGATCATTCTAAGCCAAATGGGATAGGGACTAGAGGGAGAAGCAAAAGGGAT